AATGGTTCCAGTTTTTCACCATTGAGAACGATGTTGGCTGTGGGTTTGTCATATATGGGCTTTATTTAGTTGAGGTAGGTTCCTTCTATGCCTATTTTCTGGAGAGTTTTTACCATAAATGGGTGTTAAATTTTGTCAGAAGCTTTTTCTGCATCTTTTGGGATTATCATATGGTTTTTTTCCTTCAGTTTGTTAATATGGTTTATCACATTGATTGATTTGCATGTATTGAAGAATCCTTGCATTCCTGGGATAAACCCCACTTGATCATGGTGTATGATCCTTTTAATGTGCTGTTGGATTCTGTTTGCTAGCATTTTGTTGAGAATTTTTGCATCTATATTCATCAGAGAGATTGGTGTGTAATTTTCTTTTTTTGTAGTATATTTGTCTGCTTTTGCTATCAGGGTGATGGCGGCCTCATAGAATGAGTTTGGGTGTGTTCCTCCCTCTGCTATATTTTGGAAGAGTTTGAGAAGGATAGGTGTAAGCTCTTCTCTAAATGTTTGATAGAATTCACCTGTGAAGCCATCTGGTCCTGGGCTTTTGTTTGTTGGAAGTTTTCTAATCACAGTCTCAATTTCTTGTGATTGGTACTTGTGATTGGTCTATTTATATTTTCTATTTCTTCCTGGTTCAGTCTTGGAAGGTTGTGCTTTTCTAAGAATTTGTCCATTTCTTCCAGGTTGTCCATTTTGTTGGCATATAGTTGCTTGTAGTAATCTCTCATGATCCTTTGTATTTCTGCAGTGTCAGTTGTTACTTCACCTTTTTCATTTCTAATTCTATTGGTTTGAGTCTTCTCCCTTTTTTTCTTGATGAGTCTGGCTAATGGTTTATCAATTTTGTTTATCTTCTCAGAGAACCAGCTTTTAGTTTTATTGATCTTTGCTATCATTTCCTTCATTTCTTTTTCATTTATTTCTGATCTGATCGTTATGATTTCTTTCCTTCTGCTAACTTTGGGGGGTTTTTTTCTCCCTTCTCTAATTAGTTTAAGGTTAGGTTGTTTATTTCTGATGTTTGTTGTTTCTTGAGGTAGGATTGTATTGCTATAAACTTCCCTCTTAGAACTGCTTTTGCTGCATCCCATAGGTTTTGGGTCCTCTTGTTTTCATTGTCATTTGTTTCTAGGTGTTTTTTGATTTCCTGTTTGATTTCTTCATTGATCTCTTGGTTATTTAGTAGTTATTGTTTAGCTTCCATGTGTTTGTATTTTTTACAGACTTTTTTCCTGTAATTGATATCTAGTCTCATAGCATTGTGGTCGGAAAAGATACTTGATATGATTTCAATTTTCTTAAATTTACTGTGGCTTGATTTGTGACCCAAGATGTGATCTACCCTGGAGAATGTTCCATGAGCACTTGAGAAGAAAGTGTATTCTGTTGTTTCTGGATGGAATGTCCTATAAATATCAGTTAAGTCCATCTTGTTTAATGTATCATTTAAAGCTTTGTTTCCTTATTTATTTTCATTTTGGGTGATCTGTCCATTGGTGAAAGTCTGTTAAAGTCCCCTACTATGATTGTGTTACTGTCAATTTCCCCTTTTATGGCTGTTAGCATTTGCCTATAATTCGAATATTGATGCATTTAATGTTGTCCCAGAGGTCTTTGAGACTGTCCTCAATTCGTTTCATTCTTTTTTCTTTATTTTGCTCTGTGATAGTTATTTCCACTATTTTATCTTCCACTTGACTTATCTGTTCTTCTGCCTCAATTATAATGCTATTGACTCCTAGAGAATTTTAAATTTCATTTATTGTAGTGTTCATCATTGTTTGTTCTCTCTTTAGTTGTTCTACATCCTTGTTAAACATTTCTTGTATTTTCTCCATTCTCTTTCCAAGATTTTGGATCATCTTTATTATCATTTCTCTGAATTCTTTTTCGGGTAGACTGCCTATTTCCTTTTCATTTGTTTGGTCTGGTGGGTTTTTACCTTGCTCCTTCATCTGCTGTGTGTTTCTCTGTCTTCTCATTTTGCTTAACTTACTGTGTTTGGGGTCTCCTTTGTGCAGTCTACAGGTTCGTAGTTCCCATTGTTTTTGGTGTCTGCCCCCAGTGGGTGAGGTTGGTTCAGTGGGTTGTGTAGGCTTCCTGGTGGAGGGGACTGGTGCCTGTGTTTTGGTGGATGAGGCTGGATCTTGTCTTTCTGGTGGACAGGACAATGTCAGGTGGTGTGTTTTGGGGTGTCTGTGACATTATGATTTTAGGCAGCCACTCTGCTAATGGGTGGGGTTGTGTTCCTTTGTTGCTAGTTGTTTGGCTTAGGGTGTCCAGCACTGTAGCTTGCTGGTCGTTGAGTGGACCCGGGCCTTAGCATTGAGATGGAGATCTCAAGGAGAGCTTTCACTGTTTGATATTATGTGGAGCTGAGAGGTCTCTGGTGGACCAATGTCCTGATCTCAGCTCTCCCCTTTCAGAGGCACAGGCCTGACATGTGGCCAGAGCACCAAGACACTCAGCCATACAGCTCAGAAGAAAAGGGAGAAAAAAAGAAAGAAAGAAAGAAAAAATAATAAAATAAAGTTATTAAAATTTTAAAAATGATTAAAAATAAAAGATTAAAAAGTAATAAAAAAAAAAGGACAGACAGAACCCTAGGACAAATGGTAAAAGCAAAGCTCTACAGACAAAATCACACAAAGAACCATACACTTACACATTCACAAAAATCGAGAAAGTAATATATACCTATATATAAAAAAAGAAAACAAAAAAGCGAGAGAGCAACCAAATCAATAAAAAAATCTACCAATGATAATAAACTCTGACTACTAAACTAAGATCAACATAAAACCAGAAACAAATTAGATGTATAAAGCAAACCCCAATTCTACCGTTGCTCCCAAAGTCTACCGCCTCAATTTTGGGATGATTCGTTGTCTATTTTTGTATTCCACAGATGCAGGGTACATCATGTTTACTGTGGAGTTTGAATCCGCTGCTCCTGAGGCTGCTGGGAGAAATTTCCTTTCCTCTTCTTTGTTCGCACAGCTCTGGGGGTTCAGCTTTGGATTTGGCCCCGCCTCTGTGTGTAGGTCGCCTGAGGGCGTGTGTTCTTCGCTCAGACAGGCTGGGGTTAAAATAGCACCTTATTAGGGGGCTCTGACTCATCAGGCTGGCGGGGAGGGAGGGGTACGGAATGGGGGGAAAGCCTGTGGCGGTAGAGGCCAGCATGACGTTGCAACAGCCTGAGGATCATGGGACCCTGGCAGTGGCGGGCTGCACAGGCCCCTGGGGGGGAGGTGTGGATAGTGACCTGTGCTCGCACACAGGCTTCTTCTTGGTGGTCGCAGCAGCAGCCTTAGCGTTTCATGCCCATCTCGGGTGTCCGCGCAGATAGCCACAGCTCGCGCCCATCTCTGGCACTCGTTTAGGCGGTATTCTGAATTCCCTCTCCTTGTGCACCCCAAAACAATGGTCTCTTGCCTCTTAGGCAGTTTCAGACTCTTTCCCAGACTCCCTCCCAGCTAGCTGTGGCACACTAGCCCTCTTCAGGCTGTATTCATCCAGCCAACCCCAGTCCTCTCCCTGGGGTCTGACCTCTGAAGCCCGAGCCTCAGCTCCCAGGCCCCGCCTGGCCCGACGGGTAAGTAGACAAGCCTCTTGGGCTGGTGAGCACTGGTCAGCACCGATCCTCTGTGCAGGAATCTCTGCACTTCACCCTCTGCACCCCTGTTGCTGCACTCTCCTCTGTGGCTCCAAAGCTTCCCCCCTCCGCCCCCCGCCCGTCTCCATCAGTGAAGGGGCTTCCTGGTGTGTGGAAACCTTTCCTCCTTCACAGCTCCCTCCCAGTGATACAGGTCCCGTCCCTATTCTTTTGTCTCTGTTTTTTCTTTTGCCCTACCCTGGTACATGGGAGAGTTTCTTGCCTTTTGGGAAGTCTGAGGTTTTCTGCCAGCGTTCAGTAGGTATTCTGTAGGAGTTGTTCCACATGTAGATGTATTTGTGGGGAGGAAAGTGATCTCCACATCTTACTCCTCTGCCATCTTGAAGGTTTCCCCCTTGTGAGGTTTTTGAATGTACACTCCTCCTTCCCTGAGTTCAGACCATGAAGAAATCTTACTTAGGCCTTGGTAATAGGTTTCCTAGCCTGCTGCTCTTACCCCTCCCATTCAGTTTCCACAACATGGCTAAATATATTCTCCTAAGCCCAGTTTGAAAATCTCCACTGATTTGGGGGGCTTGACATTCTCGTGTTTCTGCTATATGGATCCAATGAACCAATTTAGTCTCATAACTCACCACATTGCCATAAGTTCATTGTTGTTCTAGGTAAAGTCTCCCAGGACTTTTCAACGTTCCTCACAACAAAGTCTTTGCTTTATCTCTCTGTGTGCTGGAGTTATTTCTATGTGAAATGTTACCCTGAATCCCATACATATCCAGGATATCAGGGTTGCACTCATTTTAAAATTGAAAATATGTTCTATGTAAATTAGAAAATTTCTTTTAGGTAAGTTTAGATCTAGCAGTCAGGGTATTAGATTTATATTGTTAGGTGTTGACTCAAATAACTTGGGTCACATGCAAAATAAATGAGAATCAGGTTGTCCTTCCTCTTTCTTAGCTTTAAAAATACTGCAAACCCAAAGATTTCTCATTAAGGGCAGTAATGGACCATTGACAGAATATATAAAGGGCTTTATTACTCACCATAGTGTTTGCCAAATGGGCAGCTGACATAACTGAATAATCATTGACTTATTTTTATTTGACCCGAGGCCAGTCCTCTTAAAGAGAATTGCCCTAGTTTGAAGTGAATGAAATATTATTTGCACCATCCTACCTCCCCTCTGAGAGTTACCTCTTCTGTCTTTTGGTACCTTCTTCCTTAAAAGCTCAGAGGCCTCCCAAGACTTCCCATTTTCCAAATGTCACATTTCCTTCAGAGCCACCCACTAAACAGAATGTCATAATTCAGGCCTCTTCTACCCTCCGAAGATCAAGTTGTCAAAGCTGTCTTAGTAAGCAGTGTAGGGAAACAGAAAGTCAAGCAACTCAGGGAGCTTAAATCTTCTTATCTAAAAATGAAGGCATTAAAATCTACTGTCACAAGTAAATGAACTAACAACACCCTGGCAATTTGTCAATTACAGTTCAGGTTTTCCTACCCTGGCACTGGTTTCCAAGAGGTTTCTGTTCTGGTAAGTTGTGATTCTGGTAAGTTGTATTTGCCTTTATATCTCTACAATTTGGGGGCGAGGTAGCAATTTTCCCTGAGACTTCACTTCTCTTCAGGATCTAAAGACAGTTGTTGATTTTACAGTTCGTTCAGTGTTTTACTTGTTCAGATACAGTGGTGACTTCCAAGCTCCTTACATTCGAACCAGAAATTTGAAGTTTAGTCTGTGTTCTTAACTCTGAAATCTCTCAAGCTTATGACTCTTTTTTATTCTTATTTCCACTGCTTTTGTTCACCTGTTTCTTCTCTGATTTATTGTAATAGCGTACTCATTGGTGCCATGTTTTTCTCATGGTGCCTCTTCAATACATTTAAAATGTATTAGTATAGATTCATGTACAGAGTTTTAATATTCAGTGATTTCCCTAGGTCCCCCAAGGACACACTTGTGGTTTATAATAATTTTGAAGACAGAAGTTTCTTAGATTGTTTGTTCAAATGATCACTCCTTCCTCCACAAAAAATAAAGTTATCCAGAAATACAAAACTTTTAAATAACTTTAGATAGATTTTTTTGAAGGAAGATTGTAGTACCATAAACCAAAGTTATTTAAGTTATTATTCTTTCTGCTTTGCAGTGAATGAGCTGAAGACTGTTCTTTAAATCAGATCTTGCTAGGAATTAGGGTAAGGTCATGAGGACTTAGAAGTGTGGAAAGGGTGTGGAAAGGATGACAGCAAATAGGACAAATTGGACAGAATAAATAAACTGGAGGCTCAAATGACAACAGTAACTTTCCAGTTGACTGAGGAGTGGACTTTCTGTAGTTTATCTGTTCCTGAACATAACTGACTTTATTAATATCATCACTCTTCTCATCACCTTCCTTCACCTGTAACACTCTGAGTGTTCTTTGAGAACAATAAATACATGGTTTTGCCTAGGGTAACAGCTATTCCAAGAAAATCATAGGTGTGAAATAAATTACCTATAACATGTTCCTCATATATTACTACAGGGAAGAAGAACACACACACATGCACACAGACATACTCACACTCACTCGTTCAGGCTGCTGGATAGAGAGCTTGCTTGCCTTGGCTACTCAGTTCAACAAGAAGCAGTCAGTCTTCTACAGTGTACAGGGCTCTTCATGATGCAGCCTCCACAGATGTGACATTCTTTCTCTGGACTCCAAAGATTATGCACAAATTGCTTCCTCTGTCTCGAATTTCCTAACTACTTTAAACTCCTCCAATTTGGATAGCTCCTCTAACCTTTCAAGTATCAAATTTAATGTCTTATCCTCTTAGAATTGAAAACAAAACCAAACACTTTCTATTACCCTACATGAGGCCGGGTATTCTTCCTACCACTCTTGGCTTATCTAGCTAATAGTATTCACCAATACATGAAACAGAATCATTTCATTTTTGATTCATCAAATGTGGTTCCAAAATAACTAGGAAAGATGCTAAGTATTATTTACTGTTGTAGTCTTAAATCTTGACATAGTGCCTGACGTATGGTAGGCACTCAAAATTTGTTGACAGAATGAGTGATTTCTGTGTAGAATGAGTATTCTTTTTGCTAACTTGATAGAATCAAACTGTTGTTTTGAATGTGGTTAGGCATAGTTCTAAGCTGTGGACATTTTGGGGGAAATTTTTTTCTCTTAAAGTGTTGATATAATTTTAGGGCTCTGCATCAATCAAAATGGAACAAGACATATTGCATGAACAGACAATGCCAAGATCTCAGGGACTTGAAACAACAGTGATTTCATATAGTGTTTATACTACATGTGGATAAAATTGCATGGAGATGGTATTTATGGAATGAGGAGACCAGAATTCTAAGGACAGAGTACTCGGGAATATTTATTTAACAAGTAAAATAAAGAGGAAATTTTTCTGTATTTAAGTATAATTACATGGAGATAATTACTTCTATCATTTTCTACTGCACGGAAATGCATTTATGTGTACCTATGTGAGCAAAAATAAAGTTTATAGTTGTGTGTTTAAGAATATTTAAATATCCAAGCTAGCCTATTCATTACATTTTCTTATATAAGTGAGGCGTTTGTATTTTGAATTATATGACTATTTTTCTCTAAAAGAGTAATTATTAATTTCTTAAAAATTTTCCAGTATTCCAGAATAAACACACATGAAAAGACATTTCCTTTTTAGATACATGAATTAGCAAGAATGAAAAACTTTCTCACAGAAGACTTTAATGACAATTTGTGAATTGTTGGCGTGTTACTATATTTTTTCGGGTTTTATGACTTACATTCGTTCTAACCAAATTCCAAAACCTTATTATTTTTATGATTTGTTTGAAGTATTTGATTATTAGCAGTGATTCCAGTTCTTTGGGAAAGTGTTGTTTTCCAGTTGATGTGCTGGCATTCTCTAGCTTATTTCCCACAAGTGGAGAGAATGTCTGACTTTAAGAATTTTATATTTTATGTCTTTTACTACTGAGAGTACAGATTATGACACTTTGTTAGATGGTAATAGATATCACCTCCTACTATTGCCCAGCTTCTTCTAGCTTATTGCTTCCCTCTGTAGGCAATATTTTCAAGAAAGGACCAACTCTGCCCATGCATGGAATAGGTAGATTGATAAATGTATGATATAATTTGAGTGGTTTCAAATTCTCCCACCAATCAGTTCCAGTGTCTCACATTCCCACATTGGCCAGCCTTCTTAAGAGTCGCTATTCTGGCACATTTATAATGTTAACTCAAACTAACTCAAATGTTAACTCTTTTCTCTATGTCATTCCCAGTTTTCACATTTTTATTTCTCAGAGTTTTAAAGAGCAATCGTAAATTAGTGAGCTATTTTAGAAATGTAAATAAAAAGGAAAGGAAGCGAGAGAGGCTTCATCCACAGGCCAGATGCGATTAGCACAGCTCAAATCAATTATTTCCTTTCTTGTCCCATAAGAATTTTTTTTGTCAGATTTATTTCTAAATATTTATACACTATTGTAAACGAACAATTAAAATATTCTTTTGGGATTTTTAGTATATAATAGAAATACAGTTGACTCTTTGTATATCAAATTGTATCTTTTAGAAATATACTACCTTGCTAAAATCAAGTCCTTTTCCCTTTTTGCCTTACTGCATTACCTAAGATTTCTAGTAAATCATTGAATCGAAATGGTCCACATGTATACCTTTGTTCTGTAGCATCTCTAAATTTGTTTTGTTCTTCTAAATGCTGTTGGTTTTAGTAAGCAATAACCTTGCCTTAATTTCAAATGTGAAATATCTTACCCCACAATATACAACACTGAATGGTTCAGTAAGTTTACAGATTTCTTCAGGCTTCAAATTTTCTCTAGGTTATCTGGGGCATCCAACATGCACTGGTTAGTAGTCAGCAGGGATGCATAGAGGGTTTATAAACACAGTGTATCTATGGCCCTATCACTCCCCAAATAGACTTTTATCTGCTCTATCAGCCACACTGAAGTGAGTCTATCCTGTCCAGCCAGAAAGAGGGCAGGTGTCTGTAGCCTGAGCTGAGAGTGAGGGTTGACGTAGCAAAACAGGACAGCATCCAGGCAAGAAAGCCACAAACTTTCCACTAGCAGTTTTCATGTAAATGCACTTCTCAACTTATTGTCCCCTTTGGTGAATTTCTAGTGCAGTGAAATTTTTAAAAATAATTTTTTCCAGTGGTATACTTGTTTTGAGGGATTTGCTTGACTTTCCCACACTTCCATTACCAGGCCTTCAAAACATTTTTAATAAAATGTAGACAAAAATATTCATGAATCCAATGTAGGTAAAGATTTATTAAATAGAAAAAAGAACTAATTATAAATGAAAAAATTGGACTACTTTAAATTTAAGAATTTTTGTTCATTTATGGATATCACTAAGAGAGTGAAAAGGAGAAAATATGTGCAACATATTTAACAAAGAACTTACTCAAATATAGTTCTGTCTAGTATGGCACCAGCAGGAAGGGAAGAGTTGTAACATCACAGCCCCATCAGCATGTCCCTGAAAGACAATGAAGAAGGAAATCCTCTCTATGTGCAGCACTTTGAGAATCATACCTGGGTGTTAAGTTTTGCCTTTAAGGTGAAATGGCGAGAGGTCCCAATCTACACTGATTCATTGTCTTGATAGTAACTGTATTTGTCAGGGTTACCCAGGGAAAAAGAACAGAGAGAGAGAGAGAGAGAGAGAGGGGTGGGGAGAGAGAGGAGATATTAATTGATTTTAAGGAATTGGCTCATGCAGTTATGGAGCAGACACGTCCAAAATCTGCAGGGTGGATGTATAGGAAGAATCAATTTTGCAGTTCAGTTCGAAAGGCTGTTTGCTGTCAGAATTCCTTCTTATTTGGGAGGAGTCAGTCTTTGTTCTACTAAGGGTTTCAACTGATTGAGTGAGGCCCACCCACATTATGGAGGATAATCCACTTTACTCAAAGTCCACTGATTTTTTTTGAATTCTATTTTATTTATACAGTAGGTTCTTATTAGTTATCTATTTTATACATATTAGTGCATATATGTCAATCCCAACCTCCCAGTTCATCCCACCACCACCACCCCCCTTTTGCCTTTGGTGTCCATATGTTTGTTCTCTACATCTGTGTCTCTATTTCTGCCTTGCAAACGGATTCATCTGTACCATTTCTCTACATTCCACATATATGTGTTAATATACAATATTTGTTTTTCTCTTTCTGACTCACTTCACTCTGTATGACAATCTCTAGGTCCATCCACGTCTCTACAAATGACCCAATTTCGTTCCATTTTACGGCTGAGTAATATTCCATTGTATATATGTACCGCATCTTCTTTATCCATTCCTCTGTTGATGAGCATTTAGGTTGCTTCCATGACCAGGCAAAAGGGGCTGCAATGAACATGGGGGTGCATGTGTCTTTTTGAATTACGGTTTTCTCTGGGTATATGCCCAGTAGTGGGATTGCTGGGTCACATGGTAATTCTATTTTTAGTTTTTTAAGGAACCT